TGCACCACATGCGTAATCATCGAAGAAAGACGTTTTCGCGGTCGATTTGCGGCTGTCACGAGACATCTGTGTTGAAAGCGACGGAGTCAGCTATAGGGTACCAAGCCTCTTCGCGAACGCGCCCAAAGCGCGAATACGATCCCCAGATTTGTCGGACTGCCAACCGCGGTTACGCTATTTCTGGAGTTCAAATGAGCCACTGTACGCGGTGACTCTCAGACAGCTTCCGCGAGTCACACGGGGACGTGTTCCGTGTCGTTCCTAAGTCGTCTCGATCATGGACAATGCGGTGCTCGTGTGCACATTGTTCCGGAGAGCCTCGTCCGCGGCGGGATGCGCTATCAGCACCGCGCCGTTATATAATCCGCACACGAATATCGATTAATATTGTCGCAGTCGGGAACCACGTAAAAGGTTCGTCGAACAGATCCCGAAACCCCACGAGCGTGCGGTATGTATGTGCACTTGGCAGCCTAATGCCGAGTGGATATTCGTAGAAAGCAAAATATAAGTCAAGAGTAAAAGGGCCAAGATCGCGCTTAGATTAAATGACCAAGATTTATAATATATAATCGGCTGAAGGCAAACTTTACAATCTAATCGTCGAAATTGAATTACGTGGGATATTGATCTTCTTCTGCGGATAATCGCAGTTAACGCGTGACTAGGAACGATACGCTACTGATAATTCTAGCTCTTACATCTTGATTACAAAATGCTTTGTTCGTACGGCTGTAGAAACGCGATAGCGATCGAGACAGATCGATCGAAGACCCGTCGAGAACTTTGTCGTAATAAACTATTTCTTGCATTTCTAGTAAGCGATTCGTGTCGAAAGAGCTAAAATAATCTCTGATAAGAATGATGCTGTATGCGTGTGTATGTAATTCACTTTAATTTTATCTTTGCAATTTTTCTTACGTTCGTCATCGTGTTATTGTGTTTTGCGTCCCTCAGTCTTTTCACATAGACATCCTGTGTGACAAATTTCTAATGAAGAATCTTCGTTTCAGGGCTCTTCGAAGCGCGGCACGTCGTACACACGCGGCACCGCGATGTCCTTCGGCTTCAGGCGACGGCCCACCAGCGGGATCCCTATGCCGATAACGAACTATGTCGCCGGTACCACCAACGAGAAGAGCCTGCTGCATCCACGATCAAAGTCAGCCGGCCCGGAGCAGGATCGCAGGCGGATGATGGACGATGATAACAGCAATATGATTCATAATTCGTCGTCCGGCCGGTCGACACCGCGGCTTGCACCGCCGAAGAAGGACTCGAGTGGGATCGGCGTCAGGACAAATCGCTTCGGCTATCGGCAGCCGCAAGCGAGATTCACGAACAAGGTTGGCGACATCTGCAACAGCCACAGCATCAGTCACTATAATCAGGAGAAGCTGCAGCAATATTCGCAGCAACAGCAGCAGCAACAACAAGAGAATTATTTTGTCAAACAGCAACAACCAAACAGGATGGTCGCGCACGTGCCACAGCATTTGTGCAACACGACGGCACCGGCAAAATCTCGCCCGCCGCAATCGAATAACATGACTTACGGCGGCAATTCGATGATGCAACACACAGACGCGAATAAACGAGTCTCAGGCATTCCAGAACCCATCAGTAGGTACACGCTGCACACCAGTCATCTGCCGCTACCTCAATATGCCGTACGGGTAAACGACTCGAACTCCAAGATCGCCAAGACTGCAGCAAATCAAAGCAGAAAGATATCCACGTCGAAGGGCTCGTCCAGTTCGAAGGAAGGTTCGGTGACCGAGGATTCGGGTGTCAGCAGCCAGCCGACCGGTCCGGAGGACAACGATAGAATCAGATCCATGGATTACATGGATGATGCTTCTCTGAGAAGACGCGGCGTCGGCAGACCAAGAAACCTGCGCATGGTGGTGTCCGGCAAAAGCTTTGACGTGAGAGACGTCCGTGACGACGACAGCACCGTCACGGAGATCTCGGTGATCCCGTTGCCCAAATCTTTCGCAACCGCTACTGCGAATCTAAATACTGGCTTTGTGCGAGAGCGGGCCACGCAATACCAGCGAATCGTTAACAAGGACAATAGGTACACCGACTCGACCGCGTCAATGTCCACAACATCCTCGGAGGGCTACGACGAGGGTTGTCTGAGCGAGGAGAAGGTCTACAAGGATCGATCGCGCACAGAAAAGGTCCCGTCCATCAAATCGGACTTCAGCCCTCCCAGTTCCGACGATCCCGAATATGGACACGGTGAAGCCATGGCAGACGAGTACTCGTTGAGCTCCAGCGACGAATACCAGCGTACCAACTCCATTATCGCTCAGCACGCGCAAGCAATTACCGCTGCCACGAAAAGCGGCGTAACATCGAAGAACGCTCTACGCTCGGTGTTACTCACCATCGAGGATCCCGCATTCGCCGCCGCCGCTGCTACTACAACCACTTTAATAGACGACGAGACTTCACCAGTTGACAGCTTGTTTGACAGTCCTACCGCCAGCATCACGCAGTCGGATGGAAAACCCTCAAAGAGGGATGAGGAACACGCACACGAGCGTTCGGACAACACTCTCGAGGACGACGGCCCCGGCACGCCGACAAACGCCTCCAACTCACTCAGCTTGTCCGAGGGTAGAGAGTTCTTCGACGATGAGATCGCGGATCAACCCGGATTGATCTTCGACGACAACAACCCGAGAGCGAGAATCGAAACGCAATCCGCTATGGGAGGTCAAGTAATCACCGAGAATAGCCATACTTTGGTTGAGACGAGCTCTAAGAGTGAGTACGGATTTGCTATTCTTAGAGCTCTTATTCTTCTCAAGTACATTTAGATATAAATTGTTAAGTTTTTATTGAATTTTAATAATATTCTCAATAGAAATGAATATATTTTTGTTATATGTTGCTATATGTAATTGATATTTTTTATTGAAATATATATTTTATATATATATATTAACAATACATGTGATTTGTGTTACAGATGCGCATATCAAAGGCGTAATGAATAGTCCTCATCATGGGCGTTTACATCGAGCAGGCAGCGTAGACACTTTATCGCCCTGCGAATCCATCGCGTCGGATGATTTAATGTTAGATTACGACGGCAGCGACGCGAGCTCTTACGAGGAACAACAGCGGTTAGCATTAAGCGATATAATTTTTTATAAGTGAGATATATACGTCACAGATTAGCTTGAATATAGAAATAAACATATTATTTTGTTAGAATTAAATTATCATTGCTTGTTTTTCTTTCTCTTTCAGATTAAATTCCAATCCTGCGTTGCACGAGCTGGATGATGCAACTATAATTTCCGAGCTGGAAGCTCAGGGCGAAGAAGTGATGAGACAATGGAGTTCGTTGCTGAACACCGCGCACATGGAGGAGGCGAATTCTAATTCCGCCAACAACAATTCCATCAACAGCGGTAACAATAACAATCAGGCCGCCACCGAATCCGGGTGTGTATTCGCATTTTTCACTACCTTTCATGCTTGCGTTGCTATCAAAACATAAAACTTCGTGATGCATGATGCTTCTTCAGAATGATTAGCGTAACATTATCCCGTGGTTAAATTTACAACGCGTGACGTACTTGCAAATGATATGTAAATCATACAAAAATGTTCCTCCCCTTTAATCGGGGCAAAGGAATACTGTTTTCTCGCTGATGTTATTCTTTCCCGGTGTTGTTATTCTTTCACATATAGATAATATCCAGTCAAGTACAACTATCTCATTTCTATTTATGTACCGCTTTTTTGTTTTGTACCGCTTCGTAGATATTTTAATTGCAATATCGTTTTGTTTTTTATGTACTGAACAAATTTGTATACATTTGCATCAATCATTTTAATTTTTTTTAGTTACGTAATATTGATTATAATTTTGAATACATAATTTTAATTAATTTCGACACGTTTATAGCAGAAGTGTATGAGTAGAGACTGTAATACGGTGCAGAAACTGTAGCAGGCTTTAACTAGAGACTGTGTAGGAAGATTGGAAAAGTATCTGGTCGATGTTATAATATTTATTTAGTCGATAAAGTATGCATACTGTACGAAGGAGACAAAGAATGTGTCATCCAACCATTAAATTGATGTACATCCGCTGTCTGTGTCCACCGTAGTTATAAATCATATTCTTAAACTTTGATTAGGATGACCTTTCGAATCTTTTGTATATCATTTTTCTTGTGTACAAAAAATTCCGTAAAGGTAAATATGTTATGAGAAATTAATGATGTGTGCAGGTGGGAGCATTTAAACGTTTTTTATACTTAACGCCAACATTTCATATCAGGGAAAATTGCGTCTTTTGCACTATCTGAATTTTCAGTACTATGAAAAACTCAACAGAATCTTTTGGATAATCTCGTGACGTTTTAATTTTCTTATACGCGCTGTATTATAATATGTTCCAGACTTCTGTTCTTTTCTATAAGGTGATTATTTTTTCGTTCAGTTAAATAATGAGAATTAATTAACAAAAGTCTTGGAGAGGAAGTGTCACACAATATCCCTTTAGAATTCTTTTCATATCCCATACTCACCACATATTATTGTAGATACGATATATATGCAATTTTACAATTTTAGTCCACATTCTAAAACGATATTAACCGCAACGAAGTCGTAGAAGTTATTAAGCACATCGCGTGGGGAGATTGCACATAAAGCTTCGTCTTATCTATCTCTTAATTAAAGGAAGCAATATTTTTCGTATCGGGAGCATGAAGTACAACATTTCAGTTTGTGGTATCACATGCAATAACGATCGCGCTACCGCGAGTCGCGTAAGTTTCGAGCACGTCATGGCCACATGCGCATAACAGCCTACTCTCTTTCACGTTGCTAGCTCCTTTTTACTCGATAGCTTTCTCAGCGAACGAGAAAAGAAGTGTACATTTTGTAAAGTATATGTTAGACTTGCTCTCCTTTGAATTCCCGTCCTCATCCCTGTCCTCGATCTCGTCTGATTTCAAGCCGTACCCTTGAAGCTTTCATCAAGACGTGGCATCACGTACTCGTTTCGTCAGTCCGTTTTTCGTTCTGCTCCTCATTAATGGTGATAACGATCAGCAGGACTCAATGTGTGCGGTCGTAAAAAGATGTATAGAGAGACTAATACCCGTTTCTATAAAAGTAAATTAACTTTAACTCTCAGTTCAACTTACTCTTTATCTTATTCTAATTCTTAGAACTAGGAAAAGGTGACGAGTAGTAAGTTGAACCGAGATTAAAGTTAATCTACATTGATGGAAACGGGTATAAATATTTTCTTTTGCAAATCGTATTAAATAATATATACAGGTCTATAGGGAGGAAACGTCGCTTACAAGAGTGCATTGATTCACTGCTGATATTGAATAATGTTTTCGTAGAAGGTCTGCCAAGAGTCTGCTGAGAACAAGACATTTTTCTTTTTACGAAAATATTACAAGTTTTTGGCAATGTATCAGCCGGATTCTTGTGTATGTGACTGTGTTTTATTTTTCCCTATAAGACTTTACGTACACTACGAGACTTATATCGCGAGGTCTTTTACTTCCTTGCTTGTACAAAGTAAATAAAATGAACATGCCCGCACACATCCGTCACAGGAGACGCCACAATTCAGCGACAGTATTCTGTGTTCTAGCGCGCTAGTAAAACGGGTGAAGCAATTGCAAATCCCCGATGAGGACTCGGCGGGTGGAGACTACTACCAGCTGACATACCCTAACTAGCGAGCGGGATCCGCCGGTCCTCCCTTGAATGTCGACTAGGCAAAACCGATAACCGCACGCAGCCGATTACCGAGACACAGTAATAATAATGCACGGACGCAGGCTTAACGCGTGAGTGGTCGCGTCTTGTTAAAAAGGAAAGATAAAGGAAAAAAAAGAAATTAAAATGAACTCATTGCGAGGTTTTCTGAAGATACTGGTCGGAAAGTGTGTGAGTTTTGCGAGACAAGATGAGATATTTTATATCGTGGAGAGAAAATAAAAAATAATGATCTTTTATTTGCTGTGCTTTGTGATGCTCATGACGTGACCACTTACGAGTTAAAGACAGACATTGTCAAAAGAGAGAGAGAGAGAGAGAGAGAGAGAGAGAGAGAGAGAGAGAGAGAGAGAGAGGGAGAGAGAAAGAAGTGAGTGATTGGAAAAATCCGAGCGATGATAACGATACGGTGTTGCAATTGGGAAATCTAGCGACTGGGTATGGTTGTGCGTTTGTGATTTTTGCTTAGGGCATGACTAAATGAAAGAAAAAAACGGGATGACATGTCGTGGAATATTGTTTTCAGTATACAGTATACAGAGCGTTTCCAATTTTATTCTAAAGTTAGAATATAGTTCGATAAAGTTTATCGAATCTTTTTTGTTAAGTTTTCGAAGGATAACCGCATCGCAATTAATTGTTACTTAATGTAAGAATATTCTCTTACGCGCAATCTTCTGGTCTAATAGTTTTCTAACGTTAAGACTTATAGGTGTACTTTTAAATCTTTTAACAGATTTCATGTAATTATTATTTATCGTGCTATGTTACGCGTCTTTCTTGTTTTCGAGAGAGAAGTTTTAATTTGTCCTGAGGAAAATATTAATATATACAACTAATAACTATTCGCTGTCCCATCCCGCCCAATTTCTTAAACCGGATGTAGATGGGAAATCTACCTCAAATGTTTTCCGACCTCCGCGGATCGATTGGTCTCGTTTACTCCTCTCCTTTTTTTTTGAGGGAAATATAGCTTGACGTGATTTCACGGTGCAAGGCATCAGGTAACTTCTTTGAGATTACAGTGCGTCCTTATTATAATCGCAAAGATTACCTAGTTCTCTCAAGTATAGTCGAGATGTAGTCGAAACATAGTGCCGAACAGAGAGTAACCCGTCGACACATGTAAACCGTTCGCCGTTTACAAGTCACCTCGCTGCGTCCTGGTTACAACGCTGCAAGGACTCGCTTAAAGCGATCTTTCGTCCGTACGGAGAAGTTTGCGCGAAGTTCTTAACGGTGTATCTGGCACTAAGCGAGCGCGTCTGGTGGCGTGGATGATAGAGATTATTTTTCTAATTTCGTATTTTTTCAATAACGATGGTCGTGCTGGCCGAATCCTTCCAAAATTATCGTCCTGTCGGCACCGGTGATTTCTAAGCCGATTCCGATGTCCCCAATCCCGAATAGATGCACTCTAGTCCTCATCCTAGTCATCCCAATGGCCGTCACTTTTAAACGGTAATCATTGATACTATTTAATACGTATTACTGATACGTAACGCAAAGAGTAACTCCTTTAACACTCGCCAACAATTAATTAATCGTATACTCGTGGCATTATAGAGAGCTTGTTAGGTGTAAACGCGTAGTTTCGTAGAAGAGAGTTGATGAATAAATCGACTCAATGTTATCCTTCCCCCTTCCCTTTCCTCCTTCAAATTTATCGTGAAGGAGAGAACAATGCAGCTTTTCAAGCTGATTACACATTTAACAATACATGTGATAACGTTGCATTCCGTTAATCAATCAAATAATTCGGAGCAATCAGTGCGTCCACATGCGACTTTAAACTGTTTCAATCTTTTCAGTTCTGGACGCTTGCTGTTATATTATAGTAGTATTATAATTAAGGTGCGTGTTCTCTTCGGTCTCTCGTTCTCCTTCGCATTCACGAAATATTCCTTCACATTATCGTTGCTTTTTCGCCACGTACGAAGACACCGTTATTTCTCATCTTCGATTCCTAGCATGAGCGAAACTCAATTACAGTCATGAGCTTCATTCTTTTTCAAATGGATCTCATTCTCTTAGAAATGAGGCAGGCTGTTGCGCTTATATAGATATTTATCTCAACGTAAACGCTCTATTTAAGTTCTACGCTGGATTACGGAACGGGGAAAAAATCACGTGTACTTTTGTTAATATTTTTTAGAAATTTTCTTTAAATTATTCCACAAATGGAAAATAAAGACTCTAAACAGTCAAGCTGGATCTTTAGTGTTGCGAAAACACTAGAAATTCAGCTTGACTCTTATTTGTTGTGTATTCACATATTACAGTTTTAATAGATATTTTATTGAATATTATTATTTCTCTTCAAGGGGGAGGGGGGAAGTTAGAATTAGAACCAATGTTTTGTGAACATCGTAGTTCACTTTATCAGAACGAATATCATACATAGGGGAGAGTGGGCATGAAAGAGACATGTTTTGAAAGAGCCATTTCGTATTGCAATTAATTGAATATAGCCAAAAATTTAAAAATATTTTCATTTGATAACAGTACTAAAACTACGTCATTCATAAACATTTGACAGTCATCGTCAAAACGGCGAGGCCGTAATGAGAGATGCAAAATTATTATTACAAAAAGTAAGTTTCTTGAGTTAAATTTCCAAGTCTTTTTCATTTATTTGCGATTAGCTTTTAGGAAAAGTATTTTTTTTATCGAATACTATATACATTAAC